AGTAAAAACTTAAAAAATCTTCTTTTAAAGAACCCGAAGAGCTAGAGCTAAGATATTTGGCATGAAACATCTTCTAGTGAGTGTCTACCAAGTTTGTTCAAATAAAAATCCTGGGGTCAAAATTGGCCCCGCCCCGGGGGTCATTGATTTTCCCTATATGCATATAGTAAAAACTTAAAAAATCTTCTTTTAAAGAACAGTAAGAGCTAGAGCTTAGATATTAAGCATGAAACATCTTCTAGTGAATGTCTACCAAGTTTGTTCAAATAAAAGCCCTGGGGTCAAAATTGGCCCTTCCTGAGGGGGTCATAGATTTTCCCTATATGCATATAGTAAAAACTTCTGTGATACGCAGGCTTCATAACCTCTGATCCCCTTTCAAAATTTCATTTTATTTCGTTCCGCCCATTGTTCTCTCGTTTAGGGCACACGCTTTTTATTACTTGGGGACCATACGCCGCTTTTCATGGAATGACACGGAAGTGTCACATTGAAGGTTCCATGATAACCGCCGTATGAACACATAGATCTGCGGATATTTCTAAATTCAAAATTTTACTATTTCATGTTTAAATGTTGAATTCTGCTTAAGCCTGTGCTAGGGGGCGTGGACGGTAACTTGCACTTTCCAATACCGTCCATGAACAGGCTCAATCAAACCGAGCCTGCAACATTTTCAATTTTGCCGTGTTGGGCTTTCTTTAGGGATTCTGTATTTATCTATGTTAAAAAATCTTCTTTTAAAGAACCCAAAAAGCTAGAGCTAAGATATTAAGCATGAAACATCTTCTAGTGAGTGTCTACCAAGTTTGTTCAAATTAAAGCCCTGGGGTCAAAATTGGCCCCGCCCCGGGGGGTCATTGATTTTCCCTATATGCATAAAGTTAAAACTTAAAAAATCCTCTTTTAAAGAACCATAAGAGCTAGAGCTTAGATATTTGGCATGAAACATCTTCTAGTGAATGTCTACCAAGTTTGTTCAAATAAAAGCCCTTGGGTCAAAATTGACCCCGCCCCAGGGGGTCATAGATTTTCCCTTTATGCATGTAGTAAAAACTTAAAAAATCTTCTTTTAAAGAACCCAAAGAGCTAGAACTAAGATATTTAGCATGAAACATCTTCTAATGAGTGTCTACCAAGTTTGTTCAAATAAAAGCCCTGGGGTCAAAACTGGCCCCGCCCCAGGGGGTCATTGATTTTCCCTATATGCATATAGTAAAAACTTCAAAAATCTTCTTTTAAAGAACTCAATAAGCTAGAGCTAAGAAATTTAGCATGAAACATGTTCTAATGGGTGTCTACCAAGTATGTTGAATCAAAGCCCCTGGGTCAAAACTGGCCCCGCCCGGGGGGGGGGGGCATTGATTTTCCTATATGTGTATAGCAAAAACTTAAAAATCTTCTTTAAAAAAACCCAAATAGCTAGAGTTTAAGATATTAAGCATGAAAACATCTTTAAGTAAATATCTACAAAGTTTGTTCAAATAAAAGCCCTGGGGGGTCAAAACTGGCCCTGCCCCAGGGGTGTCATTGTTTTTTAACTATATGTGTATAGTAAAACTTTTAAAAATCTTCTTTTAAAAAACCCAATGAGCTAGAACTTAGATGTTTAGCATGAAACATCTTATTCTGGGTGTCTACCAAGTCTGTTCAAATAAACAAATAAAAGCCCTTGGGTAAAAATTGGCCCGGAGGTGGGGGGCCTATATACAGGTGAGCGACCTCAGGGCCATCATGGCCCTCTTGTTTTCATATTGGGTACAATTGTCATATAATACGTCTGCAAAAAATTAATAAAGGCTAACGAAAAGTAAGGTAAGGGTTTTAAGGGGGTGTTCTACTTTCTGAAATTAAAATGATCTCATTATGTGGAAATTTTTTTCCATGTTCGTTCTTTTAAAAAAATTTAGTAAAATCCAGACCGTCGTTTTAAAAAAATTTAAAACCAAAAGGGGTTTTTGAAGGGTAAAGACGATATTTGGGGGCCATTCCCTAAAAAAATTTAGGATGTAACCCGGTTTTTTTAGACTTTCCCAGAAATGACCCCTAGTTTAGAATTTTTTTGGATTAAAGGTTTCCAACGAACCCAAAAAAAAAAAAGCCCCCCCCAAAAAGAAAATTTCAAAATTTTGGGAGCTTGATTCAGGAAAGTCTACGAAATGATATTTGGAAGCAAAATAAAATGAACGCCGGGAACCAGAATATCGACAATGTCGTTGATATATATCAGAGTCTATAATGTAACGCCATGACGAAAAATAGTTATTATTTAAATTCATGATGAATGAATTATTTCCAATTTTAAACAGTTAATTCAAAAATACTCTCTTCTCGCGAAAAACAAAAAATACCAATATGCATGTTAAGCGGAATGCCTGATATATAACTGTAGCTGTAGCTGTAATTTGTATCTGGAAACATATTTTATCAAATCGTAACAGAGCAGGAGTTCAGCAGTTGTGTCAAAGGCATTCTTTTTTATGTTCGTGAAATTGGCAGTCTACCAGCCTGAAGTTGGCAGCCTAGCAGCCTGAAATTGGTAGCCCAGCAGCCTAAAGAAAACGAAGAATATGACAAACATGAAAACGATCGGAAATGCAGTATAAGCGCTTCCTTAGATCATTCCACGCATTTTTCAATATAATGATCTTTATTTGTTAAGAATTTCTGAACTTTAAAGTTTTTATTCTGACACTTCGAAATTCGTGAAGAACGATAAATCTTATCGTCATCAATATTTTGTAGTTATAACTTTTTTGTCTTAAAAGATGGCAATAAAACAATGACAAAATATCAATTGTTAAGGTTATAAATGCTTATGATGAAATATGAAGTCACAAAGTACAATTAAATTTTGTTCATAATGCATGTGTATATTATTTAGCACGTTTATTTTACCCATGTATTTGAGATAAATAAAGTTCGTTTTATGGGCCTTTATACTTTGTAATATTTATAATATCAGTGTCACCTTTTTTAACTGGTTCACCGAGTACATTATGCACGTGTTTAGTTTTTTTACTGCAGAAAAGTACATAAATTAGGTTAATATGGTATTATATTAACCTATAGTAAGTAAGTTTGTACTTGCAACACAAGTGTTTCATAGAGCTAATTAAGTTTGCATTTCATAATAGAAATAAAGAGTCAACATGTATGTCATCAAACATTTGTAAAAGGTATATTGTCCCTGAAATAAATAGTTTGTATACATGAATTTATTGCATCATATCCGTTACTCATTAATATGAAAATACGAAATGTCATTTGTTTTCACGATCTGACAAATTCTGCCTCTGTTTTAAAGCAGCTATCTGTACATACCCCTAAGTGTCATATACCCAGTAAAACTTATCAATGTTATGATTTTAAGTGTTTAAATCTTTATTTCTATTATAAAGTTATAATCTCATGTGTTATATGTGTAAGAAAGAGTTCTATATCTGGTAACAAAGAGGGGGTATTCATATTTCAATATTACATCTAAGATACTCTAATATAATTTAACACATATCTGACCATTCTAAAGAATTTTAGAGACAGAAAAACATATGATAGGAATGTGTTTTTGACTCTGCAGCAGTCTTTAGTAGATAATTGTATTTGTCTTTTAAAAACGATTAAGTATACAAACTTCGTAAATCAAGGAAGTTAAAGTTAGCAAACGCTTTCATTGTCAACATATACTGATCATACACGAGTGTTGTTCACATGATGTCACTACTTTGTATTGCAAACAATAATCGTTAACTGACACGAGATGTTACGAACATATATATAACAATGTTGATGGAAAATTCCGACACTGTTTATATTTACGAATTGTAACTACCCTTGACTTTAATAGTCTGTAATGTAGTGATAACAACTTTGATGTTACAAGATTACGAGAGATTAAAATATCGCTAGATAGACTACTGTACGTTGGACTTTTAAGTGGTCCAATATTTTCGGAAAAATGTCACGCGGTGGGATGAATACTGCGCGTGCGTCTCGAGACATTCTGTCCAAGCGCGTGATATGTGACGTCACGAGATACGAGTAATTGTTTTTAAGAAATCATTTTTTTCATCGATGATTCAGTTTCGTTTGACATGAAATACACAATAGTGATGCTTACAAAAGCTGTCGAAAGAAAAATAAAATTTAGAAAGAATCCAACTTCCAAGAGAAGGTAAAGATGTGAAAGGTGAAATCGTTTAAGAGTTTCATAGACACATAACGGTTTTACTGTTTAAACTTAAATCCTTGATTTTAAACTAAAAGTATTTCTTGTTACGAATTTCAAATTCACGCAAACCGCTTGATGTTATTAAACCTGAAGATTTTTTTTGTTCCGTCGGTCGGTCTGTTTGTTGTTTTGACTAACGTTGTTTTGTTGCACGCCCGGATGATGTATTTTGATTTTGGTGTTTAAGCTACGACTAGAACTATCGGTTGATATTTTTTGTCCAAATTCAATGTTTTGTTGTTTATGCTGTCACTTAACTCGCAAGAACTCGTTTTTTATTTTGTTTGTTTGTTAGGGTTTTTTGTTGTTGCTGCTGTTGAGTAGGTGGGATGGTTTTCTTTTCGGAATGGGGTGTGTTTTGTTTAATTTGATTTATTTTTAAAAAAGAATTATTTCAGCAATGCTTCATGAAGTGTCAATCTTCTTAAGTTTTCATATTTAAACTTTTAAATGTAAGTAGGTGTTAGGGTTTAATTAAGGACTCAACAGTGTCACATTTCCAATGTTTATTATCGTTTGATGAAACAATCAACACCGTTAACCTACATTGTAACGATAAACATTGTCTATCGTTTGTTGATTTGTTTCACTTGTGGGTACATCTCATCCTTTATGCAGGTACATCTCTTCTCTTATGCAATACCACGCGATCTTCTCGTGCTTTCCTAATATTTTATGAATGGAAAAATGTAGGTTCGTCATCTCCCGCCATAAATAATAATGACTGTCACGTGGTTTTTACAGTAAAGTATATATAGTTTCACAGTGGCGAATTTGGTTATTTTCCTTCTTTCATTCAGAATAGAGACAAGAAAAAGAGAAACAAAAGTTTTTAACACTGTTTGATATTAAGCGGAAAGGGATTTTATCAGCAAAAAAATTTGCTGTACTATTTTAAGAGCGTTTAAAGATATCTAAACTGTATGTTTAATTTTATATCAACGTTTTTATCGTATATCTTATTTAGATTTATGTTATTTATATTTATAATTAGTAAATTTGTAGATTTATGATTATCGTCAATTGAAATTTTATTCAGATACTTTACAGGCTCGATAAATTAAGATTTAAATCTAAAAATAGAAATGAATACTTGCTGTATGTAAAATTGTAAATCACATTTAAACATGTAAAAATAGATAACAATTTAATGTAATCTATTCAACAATTTAACCACGATTTATTTATTAACAGATAGTTACATCATTATAAAAAATGTTGAGTATCTACGGAAGTAGCGGTTCAGCGATGCAGGAATCGAGTTTGCGGAAATATTTGGACATTATCGTAAAAGACCAATCCAAGATGGCGATCAAGTCGGCTGCCATTGTTTACGACAACGGAAATGTTGCCGCGAAGACTAACAAGTTCAAAATTAATGGCAAAGATCTATTGGTAAATCTTTTTGTCTTAAATTTTAGAGTAAAAAGCTCATTTTCATAGCCTTTCTCAGTTTTGTTTTATTTTATAAATATCTTTTTGATTCGTTAAAAGTTGTTTTTTCTCGATGCATAAATTTTGTTATTGATCTTTTTATTTTAAAGAACAAGATAACTCATTATAGATATCAGCAATAGCAACCTCAAAAACAACGACAACTGAACAAACAAATAGAATTTCTTTTATTTTGACAAAAGTATTCATTAATGAAAAGAACAATTAGTTCTAGTCAAATTGCAGATGCTAAAAATGCATAAAAATAACTTATCGTTTCCACAATTTAGTTTGAAATAAGGATACGCCATTGTTTCCTCTTAAATCACTTTTGGATTTGTGTTTCGATGTGTTACCGATATTTTGTATCTTATACTAGATCTAAACACCAATAATGTCACAAACTTACTCAAAGAATTCTAATTCATATTCATCTATATTAATAGTTACTATACTGCAGTAGTATTAAGATTTTATAAACAATTATCCAATGAAAAACGACGTTACAAACGTGCAATATTATAAATATAAATAACATATGATAAGTGGTCTTGCTTTGTCTTACAGGGTATAAAGCGTGCATTCCATACACCAGGCACGGAAAAGATAGAATACTCCAACGTGACGTATTGCGTGAAATCACAATCAAGTGGACAACTCGTGGCATTCAACGGAGCAAATTACGTCATCATTAGTAAAACTGACGTCACGTATATCATCGTCACGTGCTGCTCGAGACAGAAAAGCTCTTCATTGGCTGCTTGGATCAACGCTGTTGCCAACAAATTGAAGGAAAGACACTCCTGACAGGGACCAAAAGAACACACAAAAAACAAATTGAACTAAAAATAGATCTGAACAATCCATGGTGATCATGATAGTCTGCAAATGCGGGATCGTCTGCAGACAGTTTTATAGAATCTCGTTGGACGATGAAATACAATCAAACGTTATTTAATTGTTGTCAACAGTTTAGACGGGAAAAACAGAGTTGTTCACGTTGCCTTGTAAACGAAGACTACTATCGATTGTGATGAACATATACATTGTATATAAAACAATCCATTTATAATTAGTAAAGAATTAACATGATACAGTCGCCTAAGAATTATTCTATATTTCAACTTTTGCAAATTGCATTTTGACCCGAAAAAAGTTTTAAATTAATTCAGATACTTCCACATATTTGATAGTTTTAAATATATTATATCATAATTTTAATTGCCATGTTATTACCTACTAAATTTGTCATTTTCTTATTTTGTATTTAAGATATACTTTATAAAAATATTGACTAATAAACTTGTGCAATTCTATAGTTTTATTTATGTTTTGTTATGCGTTCATAGTGCTTAATAAGATAAAATGATATTGAATGAGTGTAGGTTCCATACTGACTTTATCGAAAATATGTTCAATAAATTTAGCAATGATAATATTTATTTGTCATATACACCAAAATAGAAATAGTTTAAAAAAAATTTAAAAAACGACGCGCCCGGTTCTGTAACCTTAAAAAGTTTTTACATATTTTTTTCGTTAATGGCGGGCAGGTCAAAGTAATCACGCCCTATTTAAACCCCAAGATTAAATTTGAAAAACGCACGTGTTCCCGGGCTTTTTGGTTTTTTTACATTCTGTTAGAATTTACTTACCATATTCCAAACAAATAACTACCAATTTTTCCACATAGACATCATTTGAAAGACGAATCATAATTAGATATATAGCATAACCTTTGCAAAACAAATCTTTTGGTTGTTGTTTAGCGGTGTTGTTCTATAGAAGTAGAAATTAGTTAAAATCCTTACTTTGGGTTGTTGTTGTAAAGAGATATGTTTGGTCTACTGAGGTAATTGTTTTACTGAGGTAATTGCTCTACAGTGTCCCGCTCTGCAGAGACTATAAACCTTTGTACACTACAATTATTCCATAGTAACCGATGTTGCATTTCGCGCATGCGCATTCTGCGTAGGGCAAAAGTGCAATAATGTTGACTACGGTTCATGATTCTTTAAGGCTGTAATTAGCCTGGGATTTAGGCGTTGATAGTTTTTGCTTATTTATAACTTTTTTTTTCTTTATTCATAACATATGCGCTAATCTGTATTCGTTGTATTAGCGTGTTTTCGCTCCGCGACCCCGCCGTTTTATTTCTTAAATCTCTCTCCGCGCCCCCGCGGGGCAAAGTTTTTATTTCTTAAAATTCGCCCCGCGCACTCGCTAATTAGCGTGTTTTCGCTCCGCGTCCCCGCCATTTTTAAAGGGGGCTACACTGAGGTTCTGACGGGTAAATTTTTGGTGTCCAAAAAAAAATGTATACAACAATTTCCCCACACAATCACAATATTATGACTAAAATAACTATAACTTACACTTTAACCA